CGAAGCTAGAGGGAGCCCATGGCTTTTTTTGGTCTTCCCCTCGCCCAACCCGCAGCTTGAAGGTTTAACTCCAGCTCCTCCAAGAGAGCCCGTCTTGCCGCCCTCACCGGTATTAGGTAAGGGCCCCGCTCGGGGCGAGGATGCCACGAGTCACGTCGAACACGCACAAACAGGCTCCGCCCGAGCAAAGGCCACCGTTCCCACGGCCCGGCGGGCGCTGGCGGGGGGGAAAAGGGGTGCTGCCCATGCAGCAAGAAATGCAGCGTGATGAGATAGTAGTTACTAGCAGGTGGCTTCATGTGGAAGACAAAGCGATGGATGAGGTACTCTAGCAGGGACCACAGGAACATCCCCAGGAGGAAGATGAAGGGGAAGTAGTATTTGTGGACGGGGATGGAGTACTCTACACAACGAGACATGCAGCGGTCAGCAGGGCGGGCGACGTGCGGGTGCTCGTATCCATTGCCAGCCGGGTGAACCTCAGCTCTCCCTCCCGCCTCCTGCCCCGAGCATCCCCACGGAGCGACCTTCCCAAGCACCGCTCCAAACCACGTTTTCCTTTGATTCCCATTAATTTACACTCTTTATGGAAACAGTTGGCTTCTCGCTGCCGCAAGGAGCCGGCAAAGGGGCTCCCCTGCATCCAAGATGCCATTGGGGTCTTGGAGGGGCGCTCCCAGGACAGCCCTGCTCCTACAAAGCTGCTTCGCTCGGAACAACAAGGCAGGAGGGACCTTGGTTGCGCAGGCAGCGCTCGTGACAATTAAACAGTGTTGCTGACGTTTGGGTTTTTTTAATTTTTTTTGGGGGGGAAAAAGAATAGGTTTGTTGGGCGCTTGCCCCCGCAGAGCATTTTTCAGCCACCTCCTCCTTTCAGGGCCAGCTGCCAGCCCTGTGTCCTCGCTAGCAGAATTTGGATATCCCCCCAAAACTGCTCATTTTTGGGAAGAAAAATGATAAATAACCCCTTGGCAGCAAGGTGCTGAACGCCAGAAGAAAGGGAGAGGGGTGTCGGTGCAGCAGGCACTCCGCCCCAAGGCTGGGCACCACTGGCACCGGGTGGCACCTTGCAAAAAAAATAGGGAGCCAGCAAAAAAAAAAAAAAAAAAGCAAAAAGCACAACAAAGATGCCAGCCTGCCCCGGCCACGCTTGTTATTCCCGGGGGAGCAGACAGTGGGAGATTCAAGGGCAGGCGCTTCGGGCGAACAAGCCCCGCACTGTGCGACGCCGGCGGTGCTGAGAGCTGGGTTTGTTCGCCCGCTGCGCCGGCATCCAGCCGCAGCCCCGGGGTGGGTGGCACGCACCGCAGCGCTGGTGGGGCTCGGTTTTGGGGAAGGAAGGACAGGAGGCAAGAGGGAGCGGGCTGCACCCTCCATCGATCCCCTCGGGGGGTCCGAACGGCGTGGGCGAGAGGAGGGGATGGAGGGGGGCGGGCTCAGGGTTTAAAGCG